TGACCAGAATAACAATAAACGTTAATGTAGTACTGTGTCATAAGTTATATATGAAATAAAATAAAAAAGGAAAGATAAAAAATCGGTAGAATGTACAGTCAAAAAATTATCAATTATAAGAATGCAGAACTATAAGGAAAATAAAGAACCATTCATGGACGAGAATTGACCGGTTGAGTAAAAAAAAGCGTTTAAAAAATAAGCTAAGATAAAACAATTTCATACTGAATTTTATGTTGAAGTTCTGAATCCTGTTTCATGTACAAGTATAAAAAAAACTGTGTTTCAACAAGTATAAAAAAACTGTGTTTCAACTGCCTCCCGCAGTGCCACATCCTACGCCCTGAAGACGGCCTGCAAAGTGGGTCGAAACGTCGGCAAAAATTAAAATAATTAATATATTTTAATTTTTTATTTATTTGACCGCACCCTCGACTAACTCCTTCTCATATAAAAAAAAAATATTATTTTGCTCGCGGAAAGTCTAATAATATTGTCATTTTCTGAAATTTACAATAAAAAGTTTATCAGTTTTCGAGAAACGAGTTTTTCAGTAGAATGAACCAAATTTCAAATTTATTAAGATAAAAAAACATACATTATAATACCTTATTTGAAGTGTATATATAAAGTATTTAGAAGCTACAACAAGAATTTTTAATGATCGTAAAAAAAACAACTGAATTTTATAATGAGATATCTCACGTTATTTGCCACACTGTCATATATTTTTGTATTTTTATATATTATTTCTGATAATATATTCATTGCTCACATAATAGTTTCGCTACAAAACGAAAAAAAAACAAGGAAATCTGTTTAAAAATAACGGATTTATAGAATTATAACCAAAAATATCCAGTAAGGGATGACTACACGGAACTTGTGAAGCTCATATTCTTAGAACATTAATCCACTTTACTGTTGCTTAGTTCCACCAAGGAATCCGGTTCTGAAATAGAATGTAGTCTTAATCCTTTTTTGTCATTTACACATATTTGATTATAATATGTCAACATGGTTCCGGTCAAATTTCAAAGAAAAATTTCAAAGTGTAATTAATGAGTGTATCAAACAGTTCAGTATTTGCAATTTAGCCACTCGATTAAAACTTGGTGTTAGACATTTTAAAGAAATAAGGAATACTGCGAACAGCGGACAAAGAAATGTCAATGCAAAGAAATAATTTCTTTCGAGTTATGCCGTTGTACATGGATGATTTCACCAGGCTTGTATCTTAAGTTTCGTCATAGTAACTAAAATGGGCTAGTATTAGTAAACATTTAGTCTTAATTTTTATTCATGTTTTGTTTTCTTATCTTGCTCCGATCCTGGAAAATGATTAATTTTTAGGGGCGGGGTGGCCGAGAGGACTAACACCACTGCGCGTTGCCCTGCAACCTGATAACCGATGTTGGAGAAAATAAAATAATTATGAGTTCGCGCCCCCTGCCCGGGAGTCTTTTAACTCTGGCATTAAACCCCCGCCCTCATCCATGACCCGCTAAAGCCCCCGTATAACTTAAAGGCGAGGTAGCGGGAGAACAAAAAAAAAAGATTATTTTTTTATTATTATTTGGAAGGTTATACTCAAATATACGATTCCACAAGAAAAAAAACAACGCTGTTTAGATTAGATAATTAAAATGTTTAAGCACCGTACTACATCTGAAAATAGTCTCAGTTTGAGTTAACTGCAAGACCTGCAAGACTAGCAGGGTTTGGTCTTGGTCTTGCGCAAGACTAGCAGGGTCTGGTCTCGGTCTTGGTCTTGCAACAATTTTTGTGGTCTTGATCTTGGTCTTGGTCTTGCAAAAGTACAAGACCAAGACCAATTTTGGGCAACACTAGTTTCAAGGTACCAATTGACCGTCGGGAAATGTGAGCAATATGGTGTTTCCAGGAGAGGGTTTGGTCTATGAAAATGCCTAGGTTTTTAACTGAGGAGGTGAAGGTGATGGGATGGTCTTAGGTACAGGATAGGTATGTTGGTATTGGCTCTGAGAAGGGATTTGGAACCAATGACAATGACTTGAGTTTTTGCAGCGTTTAAACTTAATCCATTTAAGTTTGCCCAGGCACTGATCCGATTCAAGTCTTCTTGAATTTTGGCAAACGCTTCATGCAACTCTGAAGTATGGAAGGACAGGTAAATTTGGGAAACATCGGCGTAAAGGTGATGGGAGTAGTGAAGGATGGATTTATGGATCTAGAGCCCTGGGCCACTCCTGAGAACAGAGTAAGATAGGAAGACAAGGGTTGATTAGGAATAGCGATAGCTTGTGAGCGTTGGGAGAGGAAAGATTGAAACCAAATGATAGAACTAATGGAAAAGGATAATGATTTTAATTTAGAAAAGAGAATGGAATGGTTAATGGTATCAAAGGCTTTGAAAAAGTCAAGGAGTATAAGGACAGTTAGTTTTTTGTTATTTATGGCGGACTGAACATCATTAATGATTATGATTAGGGAGGATTGTGTGGAGTAACCTGGTCGGAAACCAGATTGGTAAAAGTCAAGTTGATTGGACTGTTCAAGGAAGTTGGAAACTTGGGATTGCACAATTCTCTCCAGGGGTTTGGAAAGGTTAGAAAGGATTGAGATTGGCCGGAAATCTTCAGGGGAAGACGGATTGGAATTTTATTTAAAAGACGGACTGTGCCTTTTTTTTCACAAGGAAGGGAATACTGAATTTTGAAGGGAAAAATTATAGATGAAAAGGAGTACCGGAAGGATTTCAGGGAGGCATAATTTGATTAATTTGACGGGAACGGCATCTGGATCAATAGAATTAGAGTGTGATTTCATCACGGCGGATATGACGTCTGTGGGACAAATATCTGAAAAATAAAAATCGTCGTCATTGAAAGATGTTCCAGGAGAAAAGAAGAAAGAGGGAAATGGAGGAGTTGATGAGGAAGCAGATATAAAATAAGAATTTAAATCATTTGGTGAAACTGGGAGCACTGCAGAGGGAGGGGATCTGGAAGGATCACAAAGAGAGAGTTTACGAAGGAGTTGCCATTTGGATTTGGAATCAGAAGCTGATACATCAGGAAGGCGACGAAAGGTGGAGGTTTTGAGAGGGGCATGGTCATCAAGGATATTAATAAGATTGGAGGTGAGAGTGTCAACCATGGAATCAATTGAGGTACAGGAATATATTATATAGGGATTCTAGGGAAGGTAAGATTTTTTCCCGAGTAATGCCATTAAGGTTACGGAAAGTTATGGTTCTAGGTAGGATCGGAGGGGTTTGGATATTATAGGATATTTTGATTAGGTCAAAAAGGAAACTGGTAATTGGGAAGAGGAAAGGAGGTTTTGCGGGGAATAAATAATGTACAGGTCCAACCAAGTGTCAGACCTTGCGGTGTGATGCGCAAAATAACTGAACGATAAAAAGGTCAAGGGAGAAAAAAAGGTTTTCTAGGTATGATTTGTCTCTGGAGTCGGAGAGAAAATTAGTGTTTAAGCCACTGGAAATGATATTGTTAGAATAAAGGTGGCACAAAGTTAAAGAGGGAAGCTTTGAAAGACGGATCAAATGGAACAAGAGGAGGACAATATACTACGGAATAGAGGAGATGAGAGGTGTTACAGAAGATTTCGGCGATTAGGAACTCGACTTGTGGCTGATCGGATGAAGAAGAACAATGGAGAATTCGGGTCTTTAGGCTTGCATGAACGTACAGAGCTACACCTCCGCCAGTCCGGCTGTCCCGGTCGTGGTGAATTAGGGTGTAGTTAGGAAGGGGACTGAAGAGGAGGGGATGTAGGGCTTGAACCAGGTTTCGGAAATTGCGATGATGTGGTAAAAGTTTTGGGTAAAATATTCTAAGAGTTCATCGTAATGGGCTGGAAGGGATTGGGAGTTGACGTGGCAGAACGTTAGGACACTAGACATGAGTAGGATTTTGGAGAGGACATTCGGTATTTGATGGGAAGACGCTGAAAAAGATTATATTTTATTTTATTGTAATACTAGGAGAGTAGGACAAACAGGAGCTCAACTTTTCAGCCCAGTCCTCTAGGTTGCCCTATTATGGGGATTATTTTACAAATTATACAGCTTCACATTTAATTATATAAATGTTGAGCTACTGTAACGTTCTATTCTCCTAATACAAAATTAAGATTTTAAACTAAAAATTTGTACGAGAAATGGTATTCATCTGGAGGTGTTAGTTTTGTTTTACCTAGTTGACAACAGTTATTTTTCGATCTAGACATTTCTCCTTGTATACCACATATTAATTATTATATTTATGACCGCCATCCCGGACCATCTCCTTCTTTAATAATGCAACGGTCAACTATTAAACATTCAAAATGAATAATTCTGTTTATCTTTTATCTAGGTAATATTTTTTTTAAATTTATTTATTCAGAAATATTACAATCTGTCACTATGATAATGAATAAATAAAAGTTATCTATTATCTTTTTATTTGTTATTGAAGTTTTTCCAAGATATCCATTTTGTGGTTACGCCACTGCGTTTTGGCCTATTTTAGTTTTGGTATTTCATCCATATCAGAGTCGATTTTTTGATCGTAGATCGTAGTTTTTGAAAGCGATCTCCATTTGAATATTAATCCTTTGTGTTGCGACATATTTGAGGTTTTTGTATTTCTTCGATATCAAGTTCGATTTAAATGTTCCTAGAGCAACAGGTTTTGAAAATAATCTCCATTTTAATATTACGCCACTGCGTTGCGACTTATTTGTAATAATTCGAATGTTGCTCATTTTGAACTCTGAGGGTTATAAGCCTTTATTAAATTAAAATTCGGAAAGTTGTCTAAACAACAACGTATAAGGCCTAGTTTGAGGCGAATGATAAAAGTTTATTTAATCTGACATAAAAATGTTTTGTTCTAAGTTCGCATAATTATTCCTTTTAATTTTTAATTTTTAGTAATTTAATTCAATTTCATTTAAGAATTGTATGAGCTCCTTCTCTAGAAATATTTTTAATTACTTTTTAAATTTTTCAGGATTTTCAAAATGAAGGATTCGATAAACGAGACTCGATTTGGTTCCTTGGTAATGTCCTTCGTATAAAATCATTTTTAAATCACATTGAAGATCAGAACAAGGTTAAAATGGTCGAGGAAACATTAAAAGAATTTGAAATGAATGTTGTTCCAGTTACTAATAAGCTAAGCAGAGGTAGGTATAACGAAAAATTTCACCATTAATCCCACATAATTTTATAAATATCAAATTTAACATAATTCGAGATAAAAAGCATGGTTTTGGTTAGTATTTTCTATAACATCATTTCATCTCATAAATTTGATTTATAAAATTTATATGATGTGATTTATAAAATATTGACGTTATATGAAAATAAAATTAAATTTCTCTTATTTTAAAAATACTATAGGTATGTTTCAACACGAGTTTTGATGACCAGCAAACTGTCAGCCGCAAGCGGATTACGGTCTTCCATTCCCGACGCATGTGGGATACAGTGAGAATACGCCTGTACTATAAAGTGCTAGTACCGGTGGAAGTATGAGGGGGGGGGGTTCGTACATCAAGAGTATACATTTTCATTAGTCTCAGGAGGATGGACTCAACTACATTTAGTGGAAGCTAATCTCATTGTAGTTCGTTATGTTCAAAAAATTATAGACGAGTACTTTACTCAAACGAGTGTTGATTTTATTAATGGCTTATGGGTTTTCTTATTAAGTGTAAAACATTGAATAAACCACAAGCCTTTTTTAAACTAAGCAATTCAATCTTTATTAAACTAACAACACTACTTCCCAGAAAGAACAGGGTTATATCTAAAACATGTGTTTTATATATTTCTTTTTTTTAATTAATATAATTGATATAACATATGATCGATATTCATAAAATTACTTTTAACAACGAAGACATAATTCCATTTTATTGACAATAAACCTGATAGGGGAAAAGTTGTTCATCAGTGTTTTATAAATCTGGACATCTCACATCTGCCCCTTCCCGTATTGTCTCCACGTCTCAATCCCACCCAGCACATTTGGGATGCACTGCAGAGAAGACATTTTGACCACTATTTGCAGCTTTAGCAGCTGAGAGCAGTATTACCATGTTACCACAACAGGTATTACTACAACAGAAGAATCAAACCGGTGCATCAAAAGTGGGGCGAATGATCAATCTAGGTGGAAAAACAACTGGTGATTTTTTCAGATTTATCCTAATAAGATAAAACAGGAATGTATAATTAGAAGATAAGCATAAATTGTTTTGGTTTTTAGTAGTGCCCAACGATAAATACAACCCTCTAAACAATTTGACGACTAATATTTTGTTCAATTATTATCTTTCATTTGAGCTCAGTACTACTAGTTAATTATTTTTGTGTACTAATGATTTTCATTTGATAGATATGGATGCCCAGTATTTAAGCAAGTCATTCACCAAATTATTAATTCATAATTTGACTTATTACCTTAATTATTTATACATGATTTAAAATGAAGTAATTTTATAACTTCACAATTGATTTACTAAAAAGTACCCCTGCAAAATTTTTTGCAGACTTTATTAAGTAGGTATATTAAACAAAAATGAAAGAGTTTATTGCCTTTTAAGACATGATTATTTCAAACAAAATATTTTTATTACTAAAACGTAATTATTCAGCATTTGGAAAAATCCTACTGTAATAATAATAAAAGGCTTAGCGAATCCGAAGGTTTGATGTCGACTCCTACAATCGCTTATTACACACCTTCCTACACCGTTCGCCATCCAAACCCAGTCTCTTCAGAGTGGCTTTAACGCAATCTCACCATCTTCGCTTCGCGGGGTAGACAAGTTTACCATTCGGTACAGCAAATATCTACCTTTTGAGAATTCTCTCGTTACCGAGCAGCAGGGGTGCCCAGAAGGGGGTTTCGTGGCGTAAGCCGTCAAAATTTTTGAGGGGGCATATTTTGAAGGGGTTAAGAATTTTCGAACTAAGGGACAAGAGAGAAACATAGAACAGATCTCAGAAAGTATAATTGTAAATGATCTACGATTTTTCTAATTTTACCTTAGTTTCTTCTGTTTTTAAATGAAAGAACAGGGGCAGTTAGGTTCTTGAATTATATTAACCGAATACAGTTCACGCAATTCGGCGTTGTGTAACCATCTGAACTCTCCAGTTAACTCATCCTTATTTGGTCCGAATATTCTACGCAATACTTTATTTTCAAAAACCTTAAAACGTTGCTCATCTCTTAATTTAAGCGACCACGTTTCGCATCCATAAACAACTGTAGGAAAGATAATAGCTTTATAGATTCTAGTTTTTAAGTTCCGAGACAACAGATGCGAGCTATGCAGTTTTGTCACAGAAAAATAGTTTCCGCCTTTTTTGCAGCAAACGATATATTTGTCTATTTCGAGACCTAGTTTTTTACCGAATATCATTAATGATGTCCTATTTAGCTTTATAGTTTCCGTGTTTTTACTTAACAGGACCAAATCATCCGCATAGCCAAGCAGGGGTGTTGTCCCACCCAGATCCCCACACTTTTTCGGCACGCATTACCTCCCTAATGTCATTTTCTAATGCCAAATTGAACAAGACAGGCGAAAGGGGTCACCTTGTTTTAAACCCGAACGAAACTCAAACTTTTTGGATAAATTTTTACAGAATCTGACTTGTTTCCGTCAAGTACGTTCTGACTAGATTTACTATTTTTTTTTTTTTTGGAATCTCCTGCTCGATTAGAATATACAGTATCTGGCGGTCAATAGAATCGTAAGCCTTTTTTAAATCGATATACAGCTGCCAAACAACACCGTTGTACTCTAATGTTTTCTCCAATAAAGAAAATATTTGATCAATAGTGAAACGGTTCCGTCTAAATCCGCATAGGTTGTCCCCGATAATTTCCTCGGCGTATTCTGTGATTCGACTAGTTAAGATTAAAGTGAATATTTTATAACATGCCGGAAGAATTTCAATTCCTCGATAGTTATTACAATCCATCCTCGGACCCTTTTTGTGAATCGGAATAAGGTTCTAAAGCTTCAAACCTATTCTTAGCAATGAGTTCTAATTGATGGATTTTTTAATTTTTCCAAATTAAAATTCTCGATATCGGAACGGTTTTCTTTTGTTTTTGTTTTTGTCGAAGTTTCGCGATCACTAATTCATGATCCAACCCACATTCTGCTCCGCGATAAAACCGTACAATAATTATACTGCTTTGTCAGCTATGTTGTATCAAGACATAATCGATTTGATTTCGTGTTTGCGAATCCGGTGATGTCCAGGTATATTTATCAATATCCTTATGTTTAAACGCAGTACTTTTAGGCCACTTAAATTATATCACTAAAGAATTGTGCGTCCCTCGGATAGTAATCTATTCCTAATTAGAAACCCAGTACCTAAACAATGATTCCCGCTTCCTCCATACCAAATAGTGTATTCCTTCCATTCCCTTATCGAGGCCTATCCTGGTCAGCGAATCTCTCGCAGAGCCACGATATCCAAATTGTACCCATTAACCTCATTCACAAACTATTTTAAACCATCTGCTGAATTCGAACTCCTAACGTTCCACGTACCAATACCTAAATCCCTATTTTTCAAGTTGCGCCATGAATCCCCTAAAGCAGTCCCCACCCGAAAACCGAAACGGGGGACTTGCTTGCATTCAATTAACGAGTATTTTACCTTAAGAAGATCCATAACTATTTGTGGTATATGGTGAACTAAAGATATGCGAGTAGGCGTTCAATCCTACGTCACACTCTCCAACAAGTCTGAAGGGCCCCTCTCATTGTTGGTCAGCGAGTCTATCGGACGGAAATTCCAAGGAGTTCCCACATCTTTGCTTGCGATACCCGTGGGACGCTTTCCGTACACGGTAATGAGCCCCCGCGAGGCTATATAGCCCATAATTAATGTTATATACCATTAAACCTGAGCAGCATTTCAAATCAAATATTTTAAAATTCAAAATATAACACACTTTTCGTAATTATAGCGAGGCTGGCATAAGTATTGTCCGCGGTGAAAGTCGAGCTTATGAATTATTTAAAGTTGATTGAGTTAAATTTACAATATTATTATCAATGGGAATACAATTTTATATCCTTAATAAAATGTTAAGGACTCCAGGGGCTTACCATTGGAAAGAGCAGAAGAGTATATTTTGTTAAATCAATAATTAAATGTGCACCGAAAGATGTTTAGTTGGGAAATACATGCGTTTTTCAAGTCTTTTTCATGAAAGAAAAATGGAGGATTCAATTTAAGTAATACCTTAGAAAATATTTAAAATTAAATAATTTGGCCAGGCGTCATTTTTATTATAAATTGTTCACAAATTATATTAATTAAATCAGATTATTAAATATTTTAAAAGGATATCTCTCTCATTTAATCTCATAACTCCTTTCCACTGCATTGGTTCAGTTTGCAAAAACGTGCTTGGTGTAGGCATGCACTGCGCTACAACCTCGCGGCAGTTTGAGAACTTAAGTACGCCACACTCGTTGTGAAGTTAGATTCTAGTTATTTTCATTGTTTTTTCAAAATTCTTGTTTTCACGAAACTTTCACTTGTGCCGCAAGACAGTAGCGTAGTACATTTGCTGACCATGCTGACTGAACCAAACCAGTGTATCCACCACGGAATCACCGCAAACTAGATTTTACCCGCTGTCCCAAAGTTACCCACCCAGTCAAAAGGTTACTCCATCTTATATATAAATTCATTTTTTCATTATATATATATATATACCTTTTTTTTTAATATATAGTTCTGATACATGGAGACATGAATGAAAACAACCTTATCGTTAATGGGAACGAGGTATCTGGTCTTTTGGACTTCGGTGATACTCACTACTCAGTATCAATAAATGAATTGGCCATCTGTATCTGTTACATGCTGCTTTATTCGAAGAAAGTTGAAGCAGGAAAAGCAGTTATGGAAGGATACCTTAAATTCAGAGAGATTGAAGAGGAAGAAAAAAAAATATTAAAGGTAAATTCAAGCCAACTTTTATTCCAATATCAAACCCTTTAAAAGAGAATGCCCCAGTCAGCGTGTTAGCAGTTATAACCATTTTTTTTTTTTGTGATTATTAATACAAATATTTTGCAGATATGTACCGCTTATTCTCCTATTACGGTGAAAAATATTGAAAAACCGACCTTTTTTTTTTTTAAATCTAAGCTGACCCTCCCTTGTGAGTTTTAGGAGAATCCCTCTGGTTTATTGGAGAAGATTCTTTGATTTTTGGGCAGTCTATAGCTCAGGCAGATCTACAAGGGAGTGGGCTTTAGGGCGGAAGCTCTCCCCCTCTCCCCAAAACGGTAAAATATAAGCCTGTTTCATAAGAATAAAAAAAATTAAGAAATATTAATATTAGAAATTAATATTAATAAAAAAAATATCAAGCCAATTAAAAAAATTATCAAAATATCAATAATTAAAAGAGAATGATCCTGAAATTTCATTTACCAGGACTTTATGAATCACTTAAACACCATTTCATATAGGTAGTTGGTTTCTTTCTTTTTTTTCCAAAGTAATTATCATTATATATATAAATAAAAACTTTCTGGCTAAAGCCTCCTTCCTCGCAAAAAAAATTAAATCCTGGATCCACTAGCGGTCCATAGATAGTCAAAGATGGTAGTGCGTTCATATATATATATATATATATATATATATATATATATATATATATGTATATGTATATATATGTATAAGTATGTATTGCGTTGACAAATAAGTTCTCCTGGTTGTTCAGGGTGAAATAAAACTCTTTTATGACTTTTTCCCATCTTTCCACTAACTGCATAATGCCACGTTCATAGAATGTCTGGAGTTTATTGTTAAAAAACTGATCCTAGTGATTTTTGATGTCCTCTTCGTTTTGGAATTTCTTTCCATTCATGGAGTTCTGCAGAGACCGGAATAAGTGGTAGTCAATTGAAGCTAGGTCTGATGAAGAGGTAGGGTGGGGCAAAACGTCCCATTCCCATTCCCCAAGGCTCAATAATTTATTGCGAGTGACCAATGAGACGTGGGGCTTATCATTGTCTTAGTGGAACAAACCACCCTTCCGATCATTCATAACTCTTCAGGATGTCCTCCAAATTCGAAGTTAAATTATTGCTCTTCAAAGCCGTTGTGAATGTTTTTTTTTATTTAATGCCTACATAAGGCATAAATAAACAAAAACTCCTTATAGGTTTTTATTTTTTATCTCTATTTGTAGTTTGTTTACGAAGATCCTGTTGATGTCATTTTGTGTAGTTCATGTGGTCCTAAATTCCTGCTAAATTTCTTGTAGATAGCTAAAGTCGTATTGAAGTTATAACATTTTTTGTAATTTTCGAGAAAAAAAAAACATATGAGGGATTCAAACTTTCCGCCTGGAAACAAAGTCGAACATGTGCAAATGGTTTCCTACGCTTGTGTGCGATACATTTAGGGACATATCAATCTCTCGCACTGATTAGGTGGGATTTTGATCAACAATGGTCTTAACATTGCTCGTTTCAATTTCATGTGGCCGACCAGACCGTTGAGCATCATTGATGTCAAAATTTCCTGAATGAGATTTGGCTAAACAATTTTGACAGATACGTTCGGTTAAGGCATCATCCCCATAAACACCGCAATTTTTTCTATGAGCTTCAGCAGCACGCTTACCTTTTTTAGATTAATACAACAAAATATGCCAATAATGAATGATATTCGCTTCCATATTCACAGTACAATAGCAAACACAATACTAAGCTAGTTTCAACAAGAGTTAACAGATATAGTTGTTGACATATTAAAATAAAAAAATAAAAAAGGAAAAAAAGATTGCCAAAGAACAAAAACTATTTCTCAATAAAAACTGACTTTAATTCCTTTATAATTTCCTATATATATATATATATAGTATTAGGCCTTTTCTTATCTAAATAGGATTAAACACGATATTGACTGGCTGTTATTCACAACCTATAAATACATTAATACATACAGGGTATCCCTTAAGTAGAGGGAAATATTTAAAAGGATGATAGTAGACCTCAAGAATTACAAAAAAGTTCATATAAACAATGGTCCAATTTAAGCAGAAAAGTAGAAAATTTAAGTGTTTTTTTTTAAGCAAATAGTTGTTGGTTGAATAGGAAGCGATAACTACTTAAAAAAAAACTTTATTGATGTAATTACCAATTGGTTCATAGTAAACTATAAAAAAATTTGCTTGAAGTAGAAGTGGAGTTTGGCGTTTGTAAAACCATTCTAGGGGGATTTTTAAGGGGCTAAACTAGGATAAGTTCTATTTTTTTTTAAAATCATGATTTATTCGTGATTTTGTTTTTATTTTTACAAATTTAAGATATTGCTCATTATTATAAATTAACACTCCTATAAAAAATAGATAATTGTTTGCTTATTACTTACTAATTTCTTGAATTATTTTCATGAAAACGTAAATGTTATGATTAGAAACATTTAGCTGGTCACTTACAAGTATGGATGAATTCCTGCAATCGAGATCTGCATAAAAGACAGTGTCATAATTACTTAAGATTATACATATTTAAAAAAAAATAAAAAGTTTATTTATGCAGTTATTTTTATGATAATACATCCCAGGTAATGAAAAAAATAATAAATTAAAGCTTACCAATGATTTATTGTAGCCATTTTTGCTGTAAACACGGGTATTATAGGTGACAGAATATCAAACTACATAATTTTTGTGCACACCTTGAGGTGAATCTCAACTTATTTTTTAAACCTCAACATAATTAACATGGACTGAAAGCTTATAAAACAAGGAACTTTTCCTAAAGTGTATAAGAAAGTGGGGTATCTGTAGTTTAGTTGGAGAATGCTATAAAAAATAAATCACACATAATTCATAATTTAAAAAAAATAATAGAGCTTAGGTTAGTTGATTCGCCAAAAAGTCCTCTTTAAATGGTTTTTACAATGACAAACACTACTTTATTTAAAAGTAATTGTTTTTACTTTGGCTGTCGACCCTGATATCGAATTAATCCAAAAAGTTAAAAAAAGTCGAGGCCCGTGGGGCCCAATCTCAAATTAGATATCATTTTCATAAAAAGCGCCCCCCAAAACATAAGAGTCGACCCTGATATCGATTTAATCCAAAAAGTTAAAAAAAGTCGAGGCCCGGGAGCCCAATCTCAAATTCGATATCATTTTCATAAAAAGCGCCCCCTAAAACATAAGAGTCGACCCTGATATCGATTTAATTCAAAAAGTTAAAAAAAGTCGAGGCCCGGGGGGCCCAATCCCGAATTCGATATCATTTTCATAAAAAGCGCCCCACAAAACATAATAGTCGACCCTGATATCGATATAATCCGAAATGTTACACAAAGTCGGGCCCCAGGGGCACTATCTGAAATCCAATATCATTTTCATAAAAAGCGCCCCCCAAAACCAAATAGTTGAACCTGATGTCGATATAATCCGAAAAGTTACAAAAAGTCGGGCCATCGGGGCACTATCTCAAATCCGACATCATTATCATAAAAGTCAAGTGGTGTAGAAAAAAAAAAAAAAATGGTCCCCAAAGTTGATTAAATCCAAAATATTTTAATAATTCTTTATTTTATCGATTTACATTAATAGCGATACTATTTTTAAAAAAACTATACCCCCATAAGATAACAATGGACTTAAATATGGAAGAAATATTAAAGATTCTGCTCCTGTAATTTTTATAATGAAATACTCGATTACTTTGAAAAGTACTCAGAGTAAAATATTGCTGAGTAGATTTGAAAATAGAAAGTACTCACGAGGACAGCTGATTACTTTTTGTTCTCGTCAATCATGAGGTCGAGTAGTGATTGAAATACTCGATACTGGAACCGGGCGAGTATTTGAGTAAATTACTCTGTAATTGTACTTTTTACTCAAAGTACAATTTTGCCCATCTCTACTTTACAGGGCTTAAATGCCCAATGTTCAGATATGTCATCCTCTAAAGTACCTTTAATATGGTTTATTTTAAAAAGTTAATCATTTCGCATTATTCAGAGTTATAAAAAAATGCTACATATAACTTTAGAAAGAATTTGATAAGTTAATAAAGAAGAAAAAAAAAATGCAGAAAAACCTGCGTTGCTATAGACTATAGCGCCTAAACGAATGTATCGATTTCAATGAAAATTCATTAGTCATTTTCTCGACACCCTTTAAATTTATCTATATAAAATACTTCAACGAAAAGAAGCTGGAAAAAGAGTTACGAGCGATGGTAAAATTAAATTCCGAATAACTCAAAAAGTACCTAAATGTATACCTTTATTCTCAGTTCTATATTTCAACACTGCAATCACCATCTCTGGAATCAACTTACTCATTGTCTGCATAGATAACTTTTTCAACTAAAAATATCACTAAAATGACATCACTCAAAAATATTGAAATTGGAGTTAGTCATTCTTTGGTTTATAAAAGCAAAGAAAGTTGTGTGGTTTATAAAAGCAGATGGAGGGACTAGATTTTTATTGCCTGTCGTAGATATATTAAATGGACATTTTGTAATTTTAATGGTCTTAATGACTTGTTATCTGTAAGCTATAAGCTTTAGTTCCGCTTAAAATGTACTTCAAAAAATTTTATAATAGCCCAGTATTGCCAGAAAATAATTTCTATTCAAAGTAGATCGGAAAGTGAAAGTTGTGTGTTGCGCGCACCTGATTTTTACCAATCTGCTGGTGTTCATCAAAGTAGCATCCTGGGTCCCATCCTTTACACTGTTTATACAGCTGACATCCCAACACTGCCATCACCAGGTATGCCGATGACACATGTATCCTATCTGTTAATAACGATCCATCAACCGCATCCCAAACTCTCCAATCGCAAATCACAAACCTTGAAGAACGGTGTAAAAACTGGAGAATTAAAAGAAATTCCAATAATTCCCATCAAATTACCTTTACCCTTTGTCGCAAACCAATAACTTCCTGTCCTTCAGTATTCTTTAA